GCTGACAGACTCCAGACAGGTATGGGGGTGCCTTTGGAAAGCCCCAGGGCACAGCGGCCAAGGTCCACATTGGCAAGGCATCATGTCCATCTGCACCAAGCTGCAGAACAAGGAGCGTGTAATTGAGGCTCTACGCAGGGTCAAGTTCAAGTTCCCTGGCTGCCAAAAAATCCACATCTCCAAGAAGTGGGGCTTTATTAAGTTTAATGCGAAAGAGTTTGAAGACTTGGTGGCTAAAAAGCGGCTCATCCTGGATGGCTATGGGGTCAAATACATCCCTAATTGTGTCCCCCTGGATAAATGGTGGGCCCTGCACTTATGAGTATTGATACTGCCCCTCTTTACACCCAGCAATAAACTATACTTCCTGTCAAAAATAAATAAGTAAATAAATAAATAATACATAAAAAGCCTGACATCTCGTAGTTGTTGCCATGTTTGGTATTTTTTAGTTTTCCTAAAAGTGAACTTTTTTTTCTTTTTGTAACCAGACAGAAGTGTAAATAGGTTAATAATAATAATAATAATAATAATAGACTAAAGGAAACACAAAGTAATAAAGATAACAGTTGACGCCCCAGAGTCCCTCCTCCTAGCCCCTCCCACCTGTGGTGCAGAGTCCAACCCTGGAGGCAGGAAGCAGATAAAGACACAGCAGCTCAAAGCCGGAGACACAGCAGCTGAAGTCCGCTGACACAGGTGGGTGAAGGGGCGAAGGATCTGGAGAGATCCCTCCACCAGGACGACCCACCGCATATCATGGATGTTTCCAGACCCAGATGCAGCCTCTGGAGAAAACTGGTCCTTGTGGGTAAGAGAGAAGTGATCTTGCAGGACTGGAGGGTGGGGGACGTGAGAGGGACAGGACCCTTGCTAGGACTTTCATGAGCTCACACCTGGACAACTTCACCAATAGACACACACACAGAGCATTCCCTTGGGTGCCCCATCTGCCTGGATCCCCTCCCGCTCCTCTCCAACTGGACCCCTTCCCAACTCCTCACTTTCCCCAGGACCCTTTGTGTCCCCCTGACATGCACAACTATCATGTTTCACAGGCAGCTATGTGCACTGTCCTGAAACACATCCAGTGTCCATACTGGAGGCTGGAGCTGGGAATCTTAGGTGTCTTTGCCTCCTCCATGGAGCCAAGGCTTAGGGCTCATAGAGCAGTAGACGCCTGATGTCTTAGGTGATAACAGATCCCCACCCCTGTTCATATCGACTTCACTGAATTTAGACTCTCAATCAAAGACATGTGTAGACAGTTTTGGGGGAACTTTACACACCCAGATAGATAATCATGCTGAGGACTCCCAGTGGGTTATGCCCTGTGCTCAGGGATGCGGGGGCTGCAGTGGTGCCCGAGACCGCCCTCCTGAAACTCACATCCAGTTTGAGGTGCAAGCCTGTTGCCGCGCCGAATAACCCAGGGTGTGGGGACTGCAGTGAGGGGGGCCCAGGAGGCTAGCCCAGGCTGAGGAGGAGGTGACTCAAAGCTGAGAACTGAAGAAAGAGTAGAAGTGCGTCAACTAGGAGGGAGCAGGCATCAGTGTGCCAGACATGGGGAACAGCATGTACAAAAGCTTGAAGTCAGGAGAGAGTGCGGCGCATCAGTAGAGCTGTATGTGTAACTGGGGCACAGAGCGTAGGTGCTGTGTCTTTGATAAATGAATGCATGAGTATATGCATTAATGAATGAATGAGGAAGTACATGGATGATGGGGTAGGGTAGGTATGATCTAAAAGAGGGTTAGATGAGTAAAAAAGAAAAAAACCCCAGCTCTTGTTAAGAGTGTCTCATAAGCCACTCTAAGAGTTTAAACTTTATCGTGAGAGCACTGGGAGCCACGGAAAGTATTTGAGCAGAGGGAGAGCAGGGTCACAACTAGGGCTTTATAAAGATCCACATAAGTGCTGTGTGAGGATGGATTGGAGGCTGAGTGTCCAGGGAAGAGTCCAGGCTGAAAGGCAATGGGAAGATGAACGAGGACAGGTGCTGAGCAGATGGAGAGGAGGGGACAGGCTGGGGAGTCATCCAGGAGCTAGAAACCCTTGGCGTGTTCACTAGTGTCTGTGGACCATTGCCTGGGTGGTGTCAACCAACCTCTCTTTCTGTGTCTTCCTCAGCCAATCTGCTGGCTTGTGGGATCCTCCAGACCTCTGGCCAAATCTCCATCGTCTCATTCATAGGAATAGAGGGATATCGGAGCTACCTGTACCTCGAGAGCATCCTTGAGGATGTTCAGGAATACAGCTGGCACCGGGGTGTAACCGACAGTGAGGGAAATATGATTGTCAGCTACAAACCTCCCTCCAATTCCTGGCAGTCCGGGCCCATGTTCAGCGGCCGGGAGAATGTAACCAGCAAAGGCCACCTGAGGATCAGGGAGTCTATGTTAAATGATACGGGGAACTACACCGTGCGGGTAGACGTCAGCAATGGGACCTACAGAGCAACCAGCTGGCTCGAGATTCGAGGTGAGTTGACAGGCTGCCCCATTTCCCTAATGCAAGAGTTGAGCCTGGAGGCTTTGGGAGTGAGGTACTTAGAGATCTTATTGTCCAAGTCTCCCAACCACCTCCCAATGACACTGGGGGCCTTGGCAGAGGGTTGCCCGGCTTCTCCCACAGAGATGGCTCGCTTACTACTTTCAGGGTTCCCATTTCACTGTCAGTGTATCAGTGATCTATCAGTAGCGCAGCATAACAAATAGCCACAAACTTAGCAGCTAAAAACAATACCCTTTTATTATCACCAGTTTTTGTGAGTCAGAATTTCAGGCGTGGCTTAGCTGAGTCCTTTGCTCTGAGACTCATAAATGTTGGCCATGGCCGTGTTCTCAAGAGTGGCTCTATACACAGGCGTTTCACGTCAGGACTGCTTGTTGTTTCAAGGTCAGCCAAAGCCTCTCTCGTCTGCTGAGACAGAGTCTTATTTAACACAGGTAGTTACGGGACAGACAGCCCTCACATTGGCCATATTCTACAGGTTAGAAAAGAGTCACAGCCCCACCTGTATATATTGCATGGCCTTGGAACTTTGTCTTCCCTCTGTGGTCCTCAGCTTCCTCATCTGTAGAATGGGGGTAGTGTCTACTATTGTGGTACATCGTAAGGTTAGAGGGAGTATTTGTAAAGTAAATGGGACTCAGACAATGGGAGCAACTATTATGGAGAGTCCAAATACCACCACTCGCTCGGAATTCTACCCACAGCTCCTTGAGTGGGGGTGGTGTCCTGACCTGGGAGTTCAGAAATAACCATTAGGCCACATACCTCTGCCAAGACCCCAGAACCCATTTTACAACTCTTGGTTTCTCCCCAAAATACCCCAAAACCACGCCCTCAGAGACAAGCAGAGCTTGAAGAGGCAGATCCCACCTCTAATCTTCTCCTGCTTCACCCAGAAAAGGAAAGCAACCCAGGCATCTCAACCAACACCACCTCTGTGGTTGAGTACATGGATCCTGTGGCCGCCTTCTGCCACACCAACGCCACTAATATCACGTGGTATGTGGATGGCATACCGGTGTTCAGCAATGACCTGATGACAATTTCACCAGACGGCAAGACCCTCATCATTCACAAGGTCAGCCGCTACAACAAGATACTTCAGTGTGCACTGGAAAACATCCTAGAGTTTCCTCAAAGAAGTGAACAGATCTTTCTGACTGTGGCTTGTGAGTGTTCTGGGGTCATGGGTGTTAAGCCAGGGGTGGGCTTAAGGTCTTCCAGGGGTGTAAAGATAATACGGGTAGAACCAGAGAGAGGTAATATTCTGAGCCAGCTTGATCTGAATTTCAATCGCAGCTCTGCTGACTGTTTAATATATAAATAGCTTTTGAACTTCAGACCACACCATCATTACTCAGAACCATGGTCCACACAATTTAAAATGAGGACCCAGGGCCCGGCCGTGTGGCTCAATTGGTTAAGAGCGCAAGCTCTGAACAACAGGGTCGTAAGTTCGATTCCTACATGGGCCAGTGAGCTGCGCCCAATCTGAGCTGCCACTGAGCTCCCAACAGGTGGCAGGATGGCTCAGCTGGTGAGAGCACATGCTCCTAACAACAAGGTTGCTGGTTCGACTCCCACATGGGGTGGTAGGCTACGCCCACCTACAACTAAGATTGAACACGGCGCCTTGAGCTGAGCGGCCACAAGCTGTTGAAGGGCGACCGGATGGTGACTGGACTTGGAGCTGAGCTAGCTGCGCCATCCACTACTAAGATTAAAGGACAACAACTTGGCTGTTGCCCTTCCCCAATTCCCCAACACTGTTCCCCTTCACAAATTCCTCAATAAAAATCTTTTTAAAAATTAAATAAAATAAAACAAAATAAAATGGGGACTCTAAGCTCTGCCTCTCAGACTAGAAATACTGTGAATTTGTTGAGCTCTTGCATTTGTGTAAAGAGGGGACAGCTTGCAGCCAGTCATTTCTTAAATTGATGTTTAACTTATTAAGTTTTCAAAACCCTACTTTCCTTGAGTTTTCAAATTCAGCTCATTGATTTTTTTATTTCTGTTCTTCTAAATTTAGTGACATCACCTTTACTTTTTCTTTTACTTGAATTGAACTGACCATACTCCCTTAAGCAGATAATTCAATTCATAAAAGTAAATTATGCATTTCATACATTCTCTTTTCTTTATAACCCTTTGGCTGTCCACCAAGGCAAGTTTGCAATCCAATAAGACCTTGTCAAATTCTCAGGCAGGTCTTGTCAATTGAAGACATTGAACTTATCAATACGATGGAACTCAGATTCTTTCAAACGTTCCAAGACTGTTGCACATTTATCAAATTCTTCCATATATTTTTCACAAGTGTAGAATCATTTTCTCATGTAAATCTGGAACCACTCTTGTAGTCCCTTTAATTTCCTAACGTGCAGGCGGTGGCAATCATGCAGGGAAAGCTGTCACAGAGAGGACAATTCCTGACCTCCTAACTCTGCTTACCCGTCAGAGGTTTGAACCAGGACCAAGGACCCACGGACTATTCCGGGAGCTCCCTCCCAAACCACAGGGGGACTTGCTTAGCCTATTTGTAGGTGGATAGAAGACTATTAAATCCCCAGTCAGCTCCTCTGAGCCTCATTTTCATCATCTATAAAATATATAAATCATGGAATTGATCACATGGGCTGCTGTGGGAATTAGGCGAGTGTATGAACATGTAAAGTATTTAGGACAGTGCCCGGCATGCAGTGGGCCTGATGCATTTGCTTCTACTTGATACCTATTTTATTATGACATAAATGGCTACCACGGAGCTGGTCCAAAATAGGTGCTTCATAAAATGGAAGACATTATTATTATTATCATTGTTGTTGGCACAGCTGCCTTGCCCAGGGTGGGCCTAGGGGTCCGCTCAGGGTGCAGAGTGGGACACCTCCTGGCTGGGGGAGACAGGACCCTGGGGCATCAGAACCATAGCTCCAGGTCTCTTGCCTTGTCTCTGCAGATGGACCTGACAGCGTGTGGCTGAGCAGTGATCCCATGACTTTCAACGGCATCCTGTATGCTGAGCTCGGCTCCAAGGTGGAGATGAAGTGTAGCTCCAGTTCCTTCCCAAGACCCAAGTACCACTGGATCCACAACGGCTCCCTCCTGGGCGTCTCAGAGGCAAACATCACCCTCCCGAGTCTGACCTGGGAGCAGATGGGCAGATACAGATGCATCGTGGAGAATCCCGTGGCCCAGCTAACCATTTACAGGGAAGCCCAGATCCGGACGAGGCCCGGTAAGTGCATCCGCTCCCCTCTGGGGCTCCCGCTCTCCAAATCTTCCCACCTCCATGCCTTTGCCGAGGCAGTGCCCGTCATCAGGAATGTCATCTCCACCTTGCCATGTCATGCTCACAATGGCTAGGTGAAATCTTCCTGTCCCCTGAGGTCTGAGCCCAAAACTGCCTCCTCTAGGAAGCTGCCAGAGTCCTCAGTGCAGCATTGGTGTGAATTCCAGGGAGATAAGGTCAGCCAACATTTACCGACCACTAAGTGCCAGCCACCATTCCAACCTGTGTGACTCTCAGGTTCCCTCCAGAGTAAGTTCCTTTTATGAGCATCACCTCCATTTTACAGGCGAGAAAACCGAGGCTTTGGGGAGTTTGAATGCTTCATTCAAGGTTCCAGTTCTAATCAGCAGGGGAGGCAGGATACAAACCCTAGCAATCTGGCTGCACCATCCTCTTCTGTCAACTATCCCACTGGGCTGCCTCCCAAACGAGGAAGTGGGAAGACAGGAGGGGAAGTGGTGCAGAAGAAATAGACATTTGTTGTGGATACAGTGTCTGAAACATGGCTTGCGACTGAATTTCTACCTGGGAAAAGTACCTTTTCAACAACCACACATTCAATCTTCTGCATCAAGGAGAGAGACTGGTGTGCTCAGGGAGAGAGCAGACATGCAAGGCCATCAAAAGCAGGGACACTGGAACCCAATGACCTGAATTCAAATCCCAGCTCTGCCTCTGCCCATCTGCATGAACCAGGGGCAAGCAGCTTCACCTTTCTGAGCTTCAGTTTCCCCATCTGTAGAGTCGGGATAATAAGGGCCCCTAACGACAAGGCTGCTGCAAGAATGAAATCAGAGGTTGAGCAAGAAAGTACACGAGAAGCCATCAGCCTGGCTCTTCCCAGATAAAGCCATGAACAGATACTGGCTGTGAGCTACAGACATTCACTTGGCTCACTCCACACTATTTGCTAAGCACCAACTATGCACCAGACACAATGTATTTGTGCTACTGTCTGACTCACCTTTCTGCTCCACTGGATCATGAACTCCAGGAGAACAAAGGTTGGGTGAGCTATTTGATCATCATTTGTTCCCAGTGCTTAACACGGTGCCAGGCATATAGTTGGTGCTCAGCGAATATCTGTGCAATGAGTTAATGAACCTGTGAAACTAACACCCCGCTGCCCTGTCACTCTCTGTCCTCTTATGTGGGTTTGTTCTTCTCCAGAGCACTTATTGCTATCTGCAATGATATTAGACATCGCTTTACTTAATTGTTGACTGTCTACTTCCCAGCTAGAATGACAGCCCCATGAGGGCAGGAAGTTTGTTTTGTTCACTGTTGAATCCCTACTACCTGGAACAGTGCTTTGCAGATAGCAGGTACTGGTAAATCTTTGAAGAACAGATGTGTAGGTGAGTGAAGGGACAAGTGAATGGTGGCCCTAACCCCCACATATCCTCTCTTTCCAGGGTCCGTTCCTATTGTTAGAAGAGATTTCTACATCTCCGGACCCCTGGTGGTGTTTCTCATCGTGATGACAGTTCTGGGAGGTGTCTACCTCTGCGGAATCCTGGTCTACATGATGATCAGCCGTTTCTCCACCAGGTGCGTGATGCCCTAGTCAAGGATGGGACACTGGTGGGGGACTGGGACTGAGGAGCCAGCACTCCCTTGAGAGGCGGAAGCAGAGCCAGAGCGGGAAAGAATAAGCCAGGAACTGGATAGTCAGGGATCATCTGGGGAGCAGACACATAGGTGTCAAGGACAAGAAGCCAGCCAGAAGGAGACAAAGGGGTTAGAATCAGCCATGCCTCTAACATATCAGTAGGGCTTCATCCAGTGAGTTAGCTTCATTCCAGATCTTTGTGTTTACAATATATTTATAGAGGTCCACCTAGAAGGACAGATGTGAGATGTGTCTGGTACCTGGTAGTCACTAGTTACCAAGTCAAGTTGGAGAAACAGGTAGCAGAGTGCAACTATGTTGGGGGAAGAGATTGGGTGGAGGGATGATGAAAATCTGGATTCAGGGCCAGCCAAGTGGCTCGATTGGTTAAGAGCGCGAGCTCTGAGCAACAGGGTCACAGGTGCAATTCGCACATGGGCCAGTGAGCTGCGCCTGAGCTGAGCTGCCGCTGAGCTGCCAACAGGTGGCAGGATGGTTCAGCTGGTGAGACCACGTGCTCCTAACAACAAGGTTGCCAGTTCAACTTCCACATGGAGTGGTGGTCTACGACCACTCCACTCTCAACTAAGATTGAACACGGCACCTTGAGCTGAGAGGCCGCAAGCTGCCGATGGGTAGCTGGATGGCGACTAGTCTTGGAGCTGAAGTAGTGAGCCCTTCACAACTAACATTGAAGGACAACAACTTGTCTGTTCCCCTTCTCCAATTCCCCAACACTGTTCCCCTTCCCCAATTCCCCAATAAAATCTTTAAACAAAATAATCTAGATTCAAATTTCAGCTCTGCCCCTAGCTGGCTAGGTGAACTTGAGCAGATCACTTCTCTTCTCAGATCTTCTTAGACCCACTTGGAAGATGTGAAGGGTCACACCTGCCCTGAAGGGTGATGGGAGGGTAAGACACGCATCTTGGAGGATGAAGTGATTAGCAACGTTCTCAGCAGAGTGGACCAGTTTCTCAACCTCTATCAATATTTAGAGTCAGATAATTATTTCAGTAGTGGCGGGGGTAAGGCTGTCCTGTGCATTGTAAGACATTTAGTAGCATCCTGGCCTCTACCCACTTAATATCTGTAGCAACAACCACCATAAGCTCTGGTTTAGACAACCAAAATGACTCTAGGCATTACAAAGGTCCTACGGGGGGCAAAATTGCCCTGGTTGAGAACCACTGTAGTAGATGTTAAGAATAGCAGAGATGATAATGATGGTGACAATGATGATGATGATGATGATGATGATGATGATGATGATGATGATGACAGAAATTATAAGTATAGTGGTGATAATGATGACAAAGATGATGGTGGTGGTCATGGCGGTGATGGTGGTGATTATGGTGATGGTAATGCTGGTGATAGTGGTATTGATAATAGTGATGGTGAAGATTTTAGAAGATATGTCCTTTTTTATATTTTCGTATTTTGATGTTGAGATTATTTGTGATCATGTTGTGCTCTCCACATCAAGAAGCTTACAGTATTTGCCATCAATATGACAGTAGGCAAGTTAGTCCACTTGTGCTTTACTTTATCATCTATAAAATGGGAGTAATACTGGTACCGACCACACAGGGATATCGCTTATGAGGATAAAATAAGATATTACTGATAAAGACCTTGGAACAAGGTTTGGCATGTAGTAAGTACTCAGTAGAATTTTAGATATTATTATTAACACCATCATCATCATTCAATGCGCAATTTCCAAGCTGGTTGTGATAAATCTATGGAGTTTAAGAGTGTCTCCAGGAGATCTGATTCACCTCTTCTACCACACCCTAGAAGAAGCCCCCTAGCCAGGCATCACCCTCTCCTCATAGCTAGGAGTCAATCAAACATTTTCACTGTCTCATTCCCCTTAGAGGTGCCACCTTTTCCGTGGTCTGAGTTCTCCAGTCTGCAGAGAGTCAGAGAGAAAAGGGCAGAATATTGGCCTCTGGCATTTTCTTGCTGTGTGACTTTGAGCAAGTGAAATCACTTCTCTGAACCCCTTCCTATTCATTTGTCCACAAAATGAGGTTAAAGTACCAACTTGTGTAACTGTTGGAAGGGTTCAAGATAATTTGTATAAATCATCTACCATAGTGCCTGGCATACAATAGGTATGAAATAAATTATCATCATCATCAGTAATTAGGCCAGGTACTGCTAACTCATTCCCCAAGTACACCCAGCCTCTTTTCCTTCCACCCCCAACCCCCACCCAGCCCTTGCCCCATGGTATATTCCTCCAGTGACCTTAAGACCTCAAAAATATTTTAAAAGTATGGGGAATATGGACTCTTGGTGTAGAGGTTAAGCCCCCAGATTCATCCCCTCCTACTCCTAGGTCTCTCACGAGGGAGGCCTTGGAATGAGGCTGACCCCTCCTCTAACCAGGACTCTTCTGGGTTCTCTTAGTTTCCTACACACCTGAGATGTGACTTCTCTGATTTCTTCCCATAGGAGAAACCGGGGCATATGAGTGTCCACATCGGACTTGGAAGACAAGACCAGATGGGCAAGGAGGTAATGGGGGAGTGATGGAGGAGGGCTGAGAGTATCCATAGGGGCGGGCTAGGCTATGGGGGCTAGTACTCATAGGGGACAATGAAGAGAGGGAACCAGCCCAGTCACACTGAGGGTGGAATATGGAGCCTCCTGGAGAAAATCTGGAAACCCCCGTAGGACCTGGGGCGTGACATCATGGGTAGCGTGGCCATTGGTTGCTCCATCACCAACCAGAGCCAACCAATAGGATGCAGGCTGGAGCAGGTCATGTGCAGAACTCTGTGCTCTAATTCCATTGCCTCTTCCTCACCAGCAAGTGTGCTTTTAACTTCTTCACTATCCTAATCGACACCATGGACCATCGGAACGCTGATGCCCATCTCAGCATTGCTGATGGCAGAGAAGCAGCAGAAATACCCAACAACCAAAATTGCTTAAATGCGGGCACAGCACGTGTTGACCTAATCTGTTTTCTGTTAGGAACCACACTGGAGAAAGGTGCTTACTGATGCATAAAATGCAAATAATTTGATAAGTTGGAAATAAGTAATGCAAAGCAGCATCTGTTAGGACCATAGTTACATGAAGTCTGACAGTTAACTTCATGAGTTTGTTGCAACAATGTTGCTAACCTTTTTTTATATCAGAGGGATTATTCATTATGAATTTGCACCAACTGAACAAACAATTAACCAAGTTTACTATTTGGAAGTACTGAAAAGGCTGCATGAAAAAGTTAGACAAGCTGAATTTTTCACCAACAATTCATGGCTCTTGCCCACTTGTGGCCCAATGCCACAAGGGGGTCTTCATCAGTGGGCTCTGGGGGTTTGCCTTGTGTTCAGGCACTGTCCTAAGTACTTTGCACCAGATCACATGGCACTGTCTGTGAGGGAACTTTTAGCCAGTAAACAAATAACTGTATTGGAACACCCTCCTACTCACCTGATCTGGCCCCCAATGACTTCTTTCTTTACGTGAAGATAAAAGGCATACTGAAAGGAAGATATTTTGATGACATTCAGGACATCAAGGGTAATACGATTACAGCTCTGATGACCGTACCAGAAAAAGAGTTCCAAAATTGCTTTGAAGGGCGGACTAGGCACTGACATTGGTGCATAGCTTCCCAGGGGGAGTACTTCGAAGGTGACTGTAGTGATATTCAGCAATAAGGTATGTAGCACTTTTTCTAGGATGAGTTTGTGAACTTAATTGTCTGACATCATAAAAAGTATAGATTAATTTATTATTGATACAGATATAATATGTACAGTATGTGTTTTCCACAGTTATATACACACACACACACACACACACACACACACCTGCACAAAAATTGTGGAAAATGTTAACTATTAACAGTGCTGTGTCCTAATTTCCTTCATTACACTTTACTGTATATTCTAACGTGTCTTTTTCTCACAAAGTGTATACATTGCTGTTATAATCAGAAAAAACACCAATAAAGTTAAAACAGTATGAAGTTAGTTCAGACTTCATAATGCCATTTCTGAAACGTTTTTCTGACCTGTCTTTATGGGTGTGTCTGAAAGCATATAAGCAAATTTGTACATCACTATGGCGGTTACAGTAGAAGGAAGGAAGGAAGGGAGGAAAGGAGAAAGGGAGGGAGGGATGAAGGGAGGAAGGGAGGGTGTGGGGGAAGGAGGAAGGGAGGGAGGAAGGGAAGGAGAGAGGGAGGGGCAGAGAGAAAAAGACTCCTTCCTGGCTGAATCTATGGAAGTGTGGACAGTCAGCCTAGCGCTATGGTCATCACTGTTTTAAATGCTCACAAAGCACTTAGGACAGTGCCTGGAAACAAAGCAAACCCCCAGGGCTCACTGATGAAGACCCCCTTGTAGCACTGGGGTCATATAACTGGATTCAGCCTGGTCCCTTATCGTGTCCCGCATGACATGGGCAGTCAGAGAATGAGAGGGGGCAGCAAAGGGTTAAGAAATAAAAGAGACAGCAGCCAATAGTTAAATGAGCAAGGGGTCAAGGGTCTCCAGCCTCGTGGACTAAGAGCCCCAAATCGGGCAACACACCGCTTTTATATTCCACCTACCTGGAAGTAGCATTGTTCTCTCCACAGTCTGTGAGCCTCATTCCTGAGAACTTGCTGAAGCCAGATTACCCATGCCTGCAAGCTGCTATTACCCAGAGTCTGCCCGTGGCAATAAGACAGATGCTCTGCCTTCACACACCCTATACGCATATGACCCCAGGAAGATAAGATTATTATGCTGAGGACAGATCATCAGGTCACTTCCCAAGCAGATTGAGGGAAGGAATGTAGCTACAAGGACAGAAGATCTTCAGTCTCTTTGCGGGGCGAGTAAGGGCTCATGCCCACCTACATCAGCCCCGAGATTTCTCCTAATGGCCCCCATGCGACCGTGCCTGTCTTAGGTTGTTCCTCCCTTGAGGAATCTTACCCGTCACTGACTAACCAGCCATCTTTTGGGGCCAAACAGGGAGATGCAAGGTGTATGAGCAGTGTCCTCAAAAGGGTCAGTTTAGGGTTAAGTGAGGGGAGACAGATGGCTGGACAGCTGCGTGGCAACCGTCCCTCCACTTGCCGGCCTGTGTGGCTTTGACCAGCTCACCCAAACCTCCTCTGTAATGTAGGGATAGCGCCAACCCTCCCAATCCCCTGTGAGGATTGAATGAGATAGGATATATGAAGGTGCTGAGTAAATGTATTAGCATCCTAGGGCTGCTGTGACAAATTACCACCAACTGGGTGCCTTGAAACAGCAGACATTTGCGCCGGCCGAGTGGCGCATTGGTTAAGAGCTGGCTTGGGATGCCAGAATGCCTGGGTTCGGATCCCACATGTGAGGGCTAGTGACACTGCCCTCTACAGCTAAGATGCTGAACGGCAGCTCGACCTGGAGCTGGGCTGCAGTGGGTCACCGGTGATGGCTTGGGCTGCAGCCCCTGCTGCAGTTGGTTGCCATAAGATACCGTGTGTAGCCAGCAGCCAGCGTGAGCAGCCAGCAGCCGCTGTGAGCGGCCGTCCAGAAGCCGGCGACTAATCTGCCTCACCCGGGAAGAGCGCAATGATGGTGCCACTGAAGCAACGTCCTCCACAACTAGACTGAAGAACAAAACAACAGCAACTTGTCTGTTCCCCTTCCCGATTCCCCAATAAAAATCTTTTTAAAAACCCCAAAAAACAGCAGACATTTATTTTCTCACAGATCCGGAGGCTAAAAGACCAAAATGAAGGTTTTCACAGGGCCGTGCTTCCTCAGAAGGCTGTAGGAAAGAATCCTTGTTGCCTTTTCCAGCTTCTTGTGGTTATCAGAAATCCTCAGCAGTCCTTGCCTTATGCTGTCATAACTCCAATCTCTGCCTCCATTGTCCGCTGGCCTTCTTCCCTGCCTGTGTCTCTGTGTCCACATTTCCCTTTTGTGGGGGGAAACACCAGTCGCTGGATTTAGACCCTCAATGCAGTCTGTCCTCATAATAACTTGATTACATCTGCAAAGACCCTCTCTCCAAACAGGTACCTCAATGGGTAAAGACGTGACTATATCTTTCTGAGGGACACAATTCAACCCACAGCAACAGGTACTCTTTATCTGGATTATTGAGCCCCTTGGTGTTTCCCATTGTCCATCTCTAGTCCTTACCTTCCTCCTGCACGCCAGACCATCCATCCATCTAGCTGCCTGATGGATTCTGGTCCCCACAGGGAGGTCCCAGGGACCCTCAAGCTCCCAACATGTGACCCTGACCTCATTGTCTCCTCTCAGCCCTGACCCCAACTCTTGAGAGAAAAGAAAACACATTGACACAGTCATGTACAAATATGCTCGCAAGCAGCTTTTTTCGTAATCGCCAAAAGCTGGAAACAAACCAAATGTCCATCAGTAGAAAACTGGGTAAACAATCTGTGATACACTCATGCCATGGAATCCCACTCAGCAATAAAAAGGAACAAAATGCTGATATGCACAACAGCATGGATGAATTACCAAAACTGTAATACTGAGTGAAAACAAAACCACACACAAGAGTACATACTGTATGATTCCAGTTATATAAACCAATTATATAATTGATAAGATTCATTTTTTCCAAAACTTGATCCACTTGTTCACCACCATTTGTTAAAAAAAAAATTTCCTTTCTCAGTTGAATAGACTTGGTGCTTTTCAAATTAATACACACACACACACACACACACACACACACACACACACACACACACACACATAGAATTACTTTAAGTCAATACAGACAAAACTGATTGTGTCTTCCAATCCATGGACATGGTGTATTTTTTCATTCATTTGGATCTTCTTTAATTTCTCTCAGCAATGTTCTATATTTTTTATTGTTTTTCTGTAGTTTTGAGTACAGAAGTATTGCATGTTTTTTTTTTAAAATGTTCCTTGGCACATGATGACTTTCGGTGCTGTTATAAATGAGCTACAGCACAGATTTAGGGAATGTTAATGCCAGGTCCAGTCCATTTATTTCTTTCCATCAAGGCTACTTTAGGAAGCGACTGCTGTGACATACTCCTTTCCTCACCTGGTAGCTGCAGGTGAATTTGGGGATCATGTTTCATTCATCAGATGGTCCTGTGATCATTTGGGAACCTTTCTCATTCATTTGGTTTGTCTTTATGGGAAGAAGTCATGAGCTTCTGCTTGACTCTCATCTCCACCCAGAAGTCTACCCCTTGAATTCCACTTTCAAAGACAGAGGCAGATGAAGGCCAGGTGGGCATTCCAGGAGGAGGGACCTCAGCTGCAAGGACCGAGATCTGATGCTGGTCACTTCCAGCGTCAAGAGAAATTGCCAGTAGGAACTTTCTGTTCAAAGCACAGGGATTCAGTATGTGCTCAGCATATGCGTTGAGCCAGGTGCTCAGATACAATATCACTCCCACAATTCTCACCACAAACTTGCAAGCAGGGCTTCTCAACTTGTTTCACAGGGCAGAAAACTGAGGCACAGAGAGGTAAATGGGTAGAGTATGGATTTGAACTCACCACTCTTTGGTTCCAAAGCCTGTGATCTTTCCCTATACTTGGAACTCATCACCTAGATGGCTTTTCATTTTACAGGAACCCACCCCTGTTTTCCTCTTTGCCCTGTTGGGGGCCACCATCATCAAGGCAAGGCCAAGTCTCTGCAGCTCCTCAGTTGGATATGTTGACCTCTGAGTACAAATTATCAGTGACCTGCTGTTCCTGCGGGTTTCCAGGCTGCCTCTTTTGAAATCTGAGGGATGCATAGTGAATCTCTTCTTTCTCTCCTGAGGAGCAGACAGTAGGAGTGGGGGGAGGGTGGTCTATGAGACTGCCTGGCTGGGGTTCAATCAGGGCACCCTGAGTGGAGGGAAGGGAAAGAAAAGAAAGAGTGAAACAGTGGGGACAGGATAAGGCAGAGAGTATCGGGGGGCAGGGGGTGGGAAGACCGTGACTGCCCTTATCCATTTTGCCACACACATTTTTAAAAAATTTCTTTCATTCATGCTTTCCTCAGATAGTTAATACTCGGTGAGCACCTTATTTGGTCCTTGCTAATCTCATTAAATCCCCACAACAACCTCATAAGGAAGATAATATGAATGTGTCCATTTTGTCGCTATGGAAACTGAAGTTGAATGAAATAAGCAGCTCACAGTCCCTGGTGAAAGCAGGATCTAATCCAGCTCCGTTTTGATCCCAAAGCCTGGTGTCCTCCTAAGTGTGAGGCCCCCTGTGTGTGAGGCCCTAGGCTGGGTGCTGGATATACCGTGAGGGCATGGCGGACACAGGCCCTGACCTCTTGCAGCTCACTCTTTAATTAAGGAAGGCAGCAAAAATGAGTTAAACATGTAAATGTCTAATGGTGAATTATGATAAGTGGGACAGGGACCAGGTAAGTGAGAGAGAATTCCAGGGCCTTGATTCAGACACGGCCCCTGTCTTGCAGAGGCTCAGTTTGGTGGGAGGACAAGTCAGTGAAAGAAATTATGCTGTGTGGTACACAGAATAACAGCCCCCAAAGATGTCCACACCCTAACCCCCTGGAACCTCTGAATATTTAACCTGACATGGCAAAAGGGACTCTGCAGATGTGATTAAGTTAAGGATCTAGAGACAGTGAGATGATCCTGGATTATCTTGTGGGCCCAATGTAATCACAAGGGTCTTACAAGCAAAGGAAGGAGGTAGAGGGAGATGTGAAGATACAGGTACTATGCTTCCGGCTTTAAAGATGGAGGAAAGAGGTCACCAAACAAGGAATGCAGGTGACCTCTGGAAGCTGGGAAAGGCAAGAAAATGCATTTTCCCTGGAGCCTCCAGAAGGAACTCAGCCCCACCTGCCAAAGCCTTGATTTTAGCTCAGTGAGACCTACTTTGGACTTGTGACCTCCACAACTGTAAGATAATACATTTATGGTGTTGGAAGCACTAACTTTGTAGTGGTTTGTTACAACAGCAACAGGAAACTAATGCAGGCTCACACAGTGGGTAGTGACAGGTGCCACACAACAGAACAGAACGCTTAAACAGGATTGTTAAAGTTTTTGCTCCTCCCATTTTCTCTTGAGTGTTCAAAGGTAAATACACACACACACACACACACACACACACACACACTTCCTAACACTGCTATTATCAAGAACACCAGTGACCTCTGAGGAATCCATATGGTCATCTTTCAGTCCTTGCCTTTCTGGACTTTGCAGCAGCAGGTGACTCAGTTGCATGCCTTCTCTAAATGAAAACTCCTCTCTAATTACAAGACATCAAACTTCCCTGGGTCTGTCGACCTCACTGGCAGCCCCCTTGCTGGTTGCTCCCCATTTCCCTGACCCCTAAATATCAGAGCAGCCCCTGACTCTTTCCTCCTACAACTTCACTTTGTGATCTTATCCATTACATGAGCTTATGTCGTCTATAGGCTGATAGCCCCAAGTCCATACCTGCAGCCTATCCCCTCTCTGGTAATATAGACTTTGATCCAACAGTATATTTGAAATCCCTGTTTCCTTGTCCAAAAGACACATAAAACTCTACATATTTAAACTGAACTTCCTTTCCTCCCCATATCTCTTCCTCCTACAATCTTCTCAGCCTTACTGGTTGACACCTTTATTCTTCTGGCTGCTCAGGGCAAAAATCTAGAAGTCATCCATGTCCCCTTTCTCACCCATACCCCACTCTCAGTCCATTAGCAATCTCTGTTAGCCTGAACTTCAGAATTTATCCAGAATCCAGTTAGGACCCACCCCCATGACAACTTGGTTCCAGCTACCACCATCCGTTTCCGACCTTTTTTCTATTTTCCCTGCCACACAGTCTATTTTGCACCTAGCGGCCAGAGAGAGCCTGTGAAAATGAAAGTTGGACCATGTCCTCCTTCTGCTCAAAAGCCTCCAAATGTCCACAGTAACTGGCATGTGCAGACGTGATCTACACACATGCTGACTTCCCTGCACTCACTTCCTGCTGCTGGCCCTTGCCTCTTTCTCTCATCGCATGGGCTTCCTTGTTTCTTCTCCATTTACTGGTCACCCTCCTGTTTCTGAGCATTTGCATCCACTGTTCCCTCTGCCTGGAGCGCTCTCTGATCACCCAATCAAATGGCAGACTCTCAAGCTTTGCTCAAACATCGTTAACAAAAACCTTAAGCCAACCTATGGATCATCTATGCAAATCATCTATAATAAGAAGTTAATATCTAGAATAGATAAAGAGCTCCTACAGCTCAAAAAAAAAATTTTTTTAAGATTTTTATTGGGGAATTGGGGGGATGGGAACAGTGCTGGGGAATTGGGGGAAGGGGAACAGACAAGTTGCTGTCGTTTTTTTTGTTCTTCAATCTAGTTGTGGAGGATGTTGCTTCACTGGCCCAAGTTGGCACCATCATTGCGCTCTTCTCTGGCGAGGCAGATCAGTCGCCGGCTTCTGGACGGCCGCTCACTGCGGCTGCTGGCTGCTCACGCTGGCTGCTGGCTACATACGGTAGCCCATGGCAACCCACTGCCACAGGGGCTGCAGCCTACTCCGGTGCCGGCGACTCATGGCAGCCCAGCTCCAGGTTGAGCTGTTGTTCAGCATCTTAGCTGCAGAGGGCAGTGTCACTGGCCCTCATATGTGGGATCCGAACCGGGGCCCTCTGGCATCCCAAGCGAGTTCTTAACCATCGCGCCACTTGGCCGGTCCCTCAAAAATTTTTTTAAAAATCAAAATATGGGCAAAAAATTTGAATTAGATATTTCTCCATATGAATGGCCAGAAAGCATATGGAAAGATGGTCCACATCACTAGTCATTAGAGAAATGCAAATCAAAACTACAGTGTGGGGCCGGCCGAGTGGCGCGATGGTTAAGAACTGGCTTGGGACGCCAGAGGGCCCCGGTTCGGATCCCACATATGAGAGCCAGTGACACTGCCCTCCACAGCTAAGATGCTGAACAACAGCTCAACCTGGAGCTGGGCTGCCGTGAGTTGCCTGCGATGGTGTAGGCTGCAGCCCCTGTGGCAGTGGGTTGCCATGGGTTACCGTGTGTAGCCAGCAGCCAGAGTGAGCGGCCAGCAGCCACAGTGAGCAGCCGTTCAGAAACCGGCGACTGATCTGCCTCGCCCGGGAAGAGCGCAATGATGGTGCCAACTTGGGCCAGTGAAGCAACGTCCTCAACAACTAGACTGAAGAATAAAACGACAGCAACTTGTCTGCTCCCCTTCCGCCAATTCCCCAGCACTGTTCCCATCCCCCCAACTCCCCAATAAAAATCTTTAAAAAAAAAAAACAAAAAAACTACAGTGTGATATCACCTCATATCCATTAGGATAGCCACAATATTAAAAAAAAACAGAGTTATTACAATATTATTGACTATATTCCCTATGCTGTACTTTATATCCCCATGACTATTTTGTATCCACCAATTTGTACTTCTTAATCCCTTCCCCTTTTTCACCCACCCTTAAACCCCTCTCCTATTGGCAACCATCAGCTTCTATGTGTCTATGAGTCTGTTTCAGTTTGAGGTACTAGACTAAGCAGGGAGATCACTTCATAAATTATATAAAGGTCTAACCACGATGCTGTACACCTGAAACTAATATAAAATAATATTGAATGTCAACTGTAATTGAAAAATAAAAAGTAAAATACAGTAAAATTCTGTATTAAAAAATAAAAATCAATACATAAAACAGAAAATAAGTGTTGGTGAAGATGTGGACAAATTAGAAACTTGTGCACAGTTGATGGAAATGTAAAATGGTGCAGCCACTAGGGATGACAGTATGGAGTTTCCTCAAAAAATAAAAGTAAAACTAGAACTACCATATGATCCAGCAATCCCATTACAAATATTTATCCAAAAGAATTGGATACAGGATCTGAAAGAGATATTTGCACACTTATGTTCACTGCAGCATTTTTATAACAGCCAAGAGATGCAAGCAACCCAGATATCCATCGACAGATGAGTGGATAAAGAAAATGTGGTATAGACATCCAATGGGACATTATTAAGACTTTAAAAAGAGGGAAACCCTATCACATGTCACAACATGGGTGAAACTTGAGGTCATTAGGCTAAATGAAATAAGCCAATCACAGAAAGACAAATACTGAGTGATTTCACTAATTTGAGGAAGATACAGGAGTCAAACACAGAAACAGAACTAGAATGGTGGTTGCCTGGGGCTGGGGTAATTGGGGAAGTGGGTAGTTGTTGTTTAATGGGTACACAGTTTCTGTTTTGCAAGGTGGAAAGCTTCTAGAAAGATGTTGAACAACTGTACACTTAAAATAATTAAGGTAGTAAATTTATGTTATGTTTTTAACACAATACATTTATAACAACAACAACAGAAACTCCAAAAGCCATCTCCCCAACATTCCATATTCCCTGAATCCTGCATTTTCCCCAAAGTATCTGTTTATCTTTCACATTCTATTCACTAATTCATTGTTTGGTTGGTTGTTTGATTGGTATGGGTATGTCCCTCTGCTTCACTGAACTCAAGATTAAAAAACATTTTATCATACATGGGTCCCTGACACCTACAATGCTTGTCACTTGGTACGTGCTCAATAATTCATTAATTCCTGGATGAATTAATGGATGAAAAAATGTATGCTAATCTGCTGCTTAAAACCCTTCAAAGACTTCCACTCACATGCTGAATACAATAAATGAATGAAAAGTGTGACACATCGGAACATGAAGGCTGAACAGGAATGAATAAGTGAAAATGAGAGGAAAGAGCATTTGAGAAGGGAGGAATAGCCTATGCAAAGACCCAGAGGCAAAAATCATCTTGTTCTGGTTGTTATCAATGAGAAGTCCAGTGTGGATGGAGCAAAGAGTGGGAGGCAGGAGGAATGGCAGAACTCGGGCTAGAGAGTGGGGCTGGGATTAGGCTAAGTGCAAAATAAAAAGAGGTGCCAAAAACCTCACAATTGAGATTGATATTTAAATGCAAGTTTTTAAAATTAAAATGAATGTAAAAAAAATCCACTCAGAACAAAATATCAAACATTAATTAACCTACAATTAGTAAGAGTGCCCTTCTAAACTAATTGGAGTTTGAGGCAGAAGAAAAATTGTGCGCCACTATATATATGTTTTTATGTATTTTTAAGGGTCAGTTTTTCCACAACATTAAAATAATTGAAATACTATGGAAAACCTGAAAAGTGGTATGTTAAAACTTTATTTTAAGTTTAAAGATTTCATTTATAGCCAAACCAGAATGTATTATAATTTTGTTTTCTTGGCTTCATTGTAAGCAAGCGTGAAAAGAATATTTTCTAAATCAGTCTCTCTGCTTCTCTCATTTTCATCTGAGAAGGATGCCATGTTTGACAATTTCTCTTGACTAAGTTATGATCTTAAATAATTTTTAACTAACCTCAGTCTACTGATCCCGTCGTTGTTTAGATTGTTGATACTTTGCACAACATGGCCTTTTTTCATTAATTTTGATTTTAAAGAAAAATGGCACATTAAAGCATTATTTCTCTCATTTACTGAGATTTTTGGCACCTTCTTTAGTTTTGCTTCTGAGGCGAATGCCTCACTCGCCTCACCCTAATCCCAGCCCTCCTGGAGAGGTGGGCATTTGAGAGGTCAGAATATGCAGAGCAGCAGGCTGAGAAGTTTGGTCTTTATTCTCTAGGTCAGGGGTGGACAAATTACAACCTGTGAGTCAAATCCGGCCCACTGCCTGTTTTTGTAAATAAAGTTTTATTGGAACACAGCCATACTCATTCATTTACATACGGTATATGGCTGCTTTCAGGCTACGACAGCAGATCTGAGCTGCAACAGAGACTGCACTGTCCAAAAGCCAAAATTATTTACTATCTGGCCTTTTATAGCAAAAGTTTGCCAGCCTCTGGGGACAACAGATTTTCAAAGGCAGAGGAGCTGGACAATGATGGCTTTAGATAATTGCTCTGTGTAGGGCAACAGAGGTGAGAGGCAGGGAGATGAGGGGGTCCAGGAAGAGATCCTATGGGAGTCAAGATGGAGAGAGGGGGACCAATGCTAGCTGTTCTTAGGAGGAGAAATAGATAAGAAAGGGTGACTTTTTAGCTGTAGAAGAAGAAAGAAAGGACAAAGAGAAGATGACTCTTCCATGCTTGGCCTGAAAGAAGGAGGGGGCTGTTGTGCTGTGAGGAGGTGGGGAATTGGTGGGGTGGGGGGGTGGAGATGAGCGCAACGTTGTCCATGCTGAGCAGAGCAATCCAGGGGGGCACCCTGGGGGAGGTGTACAAGCGGGATGCTGGATGGTGAGATGCCCAGGCCACTCACCTGAGAGATTGACCTCGTGACAGCGTTTGTGCCCTCTGTGCCCGTGTCGCCCATGCCCGCTGAAGCCCTTGGCGCTTTCTTCCTCCAGTATCTCACCCTGAGTGAAGAGATCAGAGAGCCTTTCAGTCGGGCCAGCTCAGAGTGCCACGGGCAGACTGAACCTCCTGTTCTTTCTTGAAGGGCTGGAGGGGTGACGGAGGTGGGAGATGGGTCCCGTCCCAGAGGCCCCAGGGTCGAGAATGCAGGCTCCTCCCTCCTGGGCAGTGGGAGCAGAGGTTTGTGACAGACCCTCCCAGGTGCCAGGGACCCCCTTTCTGCCCTTGCTTCAGGCTCTGGACACACCCAGGTCCCCCCAGCTCTGGGTTCAGGGATTCTGTGCCCACCTGGCCTTCCTACTTGAGGGCTCTCCCTCCCTCCCCAGGGACAGTGCTCACATGATGACAATGATACACAAGGAAAGAAAGAGCAGGGTTGTAACTCCTGCTCCCCAGACTGCCCCCAGCGTCACTCCTGATAACGGCCTCCTCGCTTTTCCTGCAGACAGATTAGATTATTGGTGACTCCCTTCTGAGAGCTCAGTCTCTCCTTCCACACCCTGTAGGGTCCCACATGTCCATTTCCTGACCCCTTTGCCAGACACAAAATACAGGGACAGGGGAGAGGGGAGAGATTAGGATGAGGTAAGTAAGGCATACAACAGCTGGGTTGCAGCCTGCCTTTATTTTAAATGTTGGGGTTTTTTGGTCATCATGGAATTTATTTTGCATTCATTTTTATTTCAAAGAAATACTGAGTTGTGATATTATTTCTCTTGATTGCTGAGCTTTCTCTGGCTTCTGCAATTTTGTGCCCAAAATGAGTGCCTCACTTGCCTGACGCTCGTCTCAGCCCTGCAAAGCAAGGACCTTGTGCCCCCAAGACACTCCTGTCCCGGCCCCAGCCCCTCTCTTCCAAGACCCACTTCCTTTCCCTGTGCTTCTCCCTCCCAGCTCTCGCCTCCACCCCACAGATCTGGCCAGGCAGAAAGAGGACAGCTGTGCTCTGAGTCCCAGGGAAATTTTAAGCCTCACAGCCAAGCACAGGCAGAGCTGAGTTCCCCTTTGAAGTTCAGGGGGCTGCACGGTGGACTGTGAGGCTGGAGTGGGTGCTGTTCTCCTCCAGTCCCTCTCCCATCCACTGGTGCACTCACTCTGCAGAGAGAGGTTTAGGGAGACGTGCAGGGAGCCCCAAGGGTGCTGAGCTCGGCACGTGAATTCCCCTTCATCTCTGACATGTACTTGAGACAGCTCCAGGACCGCAGCGTTTGAGGGGTGCGAGTGGTTCAGGGTCAGGTTCTGCCGGGTCCAGCTCAGTTTGGTGGGGGGGTTGCTGTCAGCCACACAGACCAGGCGCAGGTACTGGTCTTTCAGGACTGAAAGAGATGAACCATTCTCCAGCGCTATAGGTACTGAAGAAAAAGAGACAGAGGGTCAGAGTGACAAAGAGATCAAGAGAAAGCGAAAGAATAGAAAATGAGACCAGTTGAGAGAAACAAACACACAGACATAAGGTTGACACACACTTTCACTCCTCGCTGGTTGGAATGTAAACTTGTCCACTCTTCATGCAGAACAATTTGACCATTTCTCTCAAAATTAGAGGAACATATAAGTAGCTATACTTTACTTTTAGGAACTAATCTCCTCCCCCCAACACACACACACACATTTGTGAAAGAAGACACAAGGTTATTCATTGCAGTGTTTCCATTGCATTCATTAGATGAATGCCATGGTTTTCCACTAACAGAAGGTGCAAACAAACACAGCCAGAGTCCATCCAGGCAGGGGAGCACCACACAGTCACAGAGAAGAGTGATGTCTGTCCTACTGATGTCAGAGGACCCTTATCCTCTAGGTGAGCAAGCCAAGGCTCAGAGCAGCGTGTGGACACTGGCCACTTCCTGGAAAGGTACTCGGCATCTAAGGACAGACTCTGCTGTGCATTTTGAATTTTTTGGCTGTGTGAGTACATTTACTTGTTCAAAACTACTTAAATAAAACATCATTAGGGAAAACTCAAAGACAAGCTGCAAAGGTCGTAAGGAGATGGATGATATGGGGCCTCGAGATGCAGCTCTGCCACGTGGATGGTGCCCTGTTCTCCTGGTGCAGTTGACGGGGTAGGAGGAGTCCTTGGAAGTGAGGGGCCGATAAGGACAGCTGCTCACGGGGGCCATGTGGGCTGAGAATGGAGTGAGCACTGGGCTTACCCACAAGAACGGGTCTGGTCACCCGGGTGAGACCAGGATGAGGCAGGGCCTGGGAGGGCCTTAAGCTGGAAGAGGCCCTGCTCCCTACAGCCCATGACAGGCTCCTTCCTACCTGTGCCATTTCCCTGGAAGACAGTTACGGTCAAGTCCTGTGCAGAGTCTGGGACAGAAAGACATGGTGGATCCAAGTCAATGGAGCTGCATAAGTGGGGGAAGGGTGGAGGCAGGCATCCTCCTCACCCCCACCCAGACCAGATTCACGTCCCAACACCCAGTGTCCGAGTCCCTGACCCCCATCCCGCTGCCCTCAGGACCCCACCAGAGACCCTGGCTTCCTGGCTAGCACTCACAGGTGACGTTGAGCTGGATGGTTGTCTCCACGGTCACACCAGCTGCAGGGAACGTCACCTGACAGGTAAGGTTAGTGCCGTGGTCCTGGGGCCGAGGGGTGAAGGTGATCACAGAGGAGAGGAGGGTCCTGGGGCCCAGGGAGGTGAGGGCAGCTGAGGTCCAGGAGAAGATGGGGGGCGTGCCCCGCTCACAGGCCCAGGGCACAGAGCATGTCAGATTCCTGGGGAAGCCGGACTCCAGAGTGCCCGGGATGAGGATGTGGGGTGTATGATTCAGAGCTGGTGAGAGGGGGCACACGGGATCAGGAGGGAGGGTCCCAGGTGCAGCCCTGAGAGAAGCCTCAGGCTTTGGTCCAGCTCCTCTGTCTGACACTAGACACACTGGACCCCCAGCACACTCCCAGGAGGGGGTCCCCTCCCCTCCCTGTCCTGAAAGTCCATGTCCTTCCCCTGTGGCCTCTCCTGGAGCCCATTCCTTACCCGTCACGTGCACGGAGAGGAAGGTATCTGTGTAAGTCCATATCGCTGATCTTCTCTCCACCCGAAAAACGTATTTTCCATCATCGCTCCTCCTGGCGTCTCTGATGTCCAGGGAGCAGTTGTAGTTCCGAGGGTCCCCAAGGAGGTGGAATCGGCCCTGGGTCTCCTCCTTCACTTTGTGATCTGGCTTGTTTGTGGCCACTGGAGCGTCTTGGTGTACATCGGCCCCTTCCCGGAACCAGTATCCGTGAGCTGGGTCAGAGTCCCTCCAGTCTTCCCGGGGATAGGTGACACTGCAGGGCACGAAGACACACAGGCCCTCCTGCACCGTCACAGACTCCTGCACTGTCAGCCGGTATCTTGCATCCTGAGCCTGGGTCCCTGTGGGGAAAGGAGGGTCAGCAGAGCCCCCACCCTGCCCCCTCCCCCCTCATCCACTCACCTGCCCACAGCAGGGGCAGCAACAGCAGCAGCATCTCCGACACGGAGGGTCTGGGGTCCTGTGGGAGAAAAGAGAAGGAAGGCCGTGTGGGAAAGGGGAGGGGGGAGAAACCACAGAAGCTGGGGCGGAGCACAGGGCCTCCCCACTCACAGAAGAGGAACCTCAGAGGTGAGCTCGTCCCCCACCCCCTGCACACAGCAGGTGGACACCCCACGGTCCAGGGATCCTGGACACCCACCTTTGTAATCCTTCCTGAACCCCTCTGGCCCCAGGGCAGGGCCAGCAACATGTCTGGGGCTGGCAGTGCCACGTTCCCTCTGGGAAAGTCTGTTTCTCAAGGTTTGTCCTTCAGGGATTAGAACTAAACGTTGCAGGATTTAGAGAAGGCTCCACAGGAAGAAGAGGGTGAGGTCAGGACAATGACGCTTGTCACAGGAGGAGCTCAGACACTGTCAGGCTGGGAAAGCCCTTGGAGATTTACCACCTACACCCACTGTTGTGGACCCTCAGGCCAGGGAGGGTGAGAGAAGCCCAAATCACACCCCATGCAGGACCCAAGTTCATCCACTGCCTCCCTGTCATGACCTTCCCCCTGGGGGTCATTTTCTGCAAAGTTAAAACAGGTTCCTTCTGGCCAAACCCTCTGGTCACAGGCTATAGATGTCTGTGGAGGTCGGTCCAGCCAGGGGTGGGACTCGGGGACATGGCAGATTGGGGAGGTCCAGGGAGGGTGAGGAGGCCAGTTATCTTTCCTCCTTCAATGTCCACACGGTGGGCATCCCCTATCTGCTCACAAGGTCACACACCAGCCCTGGATGTTGCCCCGAGAGTCACTGTCCAGTGGGGACACAAGTGTCCTGAAACGTGGAGCTCCCTGTGACAGGAGCTGTGATGGGTGATGCACAGGTGGGGTGGGATGTCATTCTTTCTCCATTGGAGGCTGAGTCTCAGGAGGACTGGGCAGAGGAGACACTCAGGCAACAGAGGTGAGGATTCCGCGTGTTAATGCACACCGAGGACATCCAAGGGAGTTCTCAGGGAAACAGGATGCCGGGGAAACTGAGGCTGGGATTCTCTGTACAGTGGGATTTATTAGGGAAGAAAGTGCAGAAAGACAGGCGCTGATTTTGAAAGGGATAAACACCTTTTCATCATAGCTGCCTGGGTACCAGGAAGGATTTCTTCACCACTGATGTCTCATGGGGCCATATTTCTCATTGCTCCAGAGCGTGGCAGGGTCTTCTGGCCTCTGGGGCTGTGCTTGTGCAGGTTGTGGTCCCAGCAATCCGTGTGGGAGACACAGAGTGAGAAATGCCAGCCTGGGTTCGTCCACCTTTGGGGATGGTGAGGATTTCACGAAAGAAGAGGCATGCACCCGATTTCACAGGTTATTTTTAACTGGGGGTGGTGGTGGCAGGAAGCGGTGGGAAAACATGAGAAGCAGTACCTCCTTAGACCTGTGTTGGGTTTCCTGAAACATTTGGGGCAGGAGCAAACATAAGACACATACAGAGAAGTGCCCTCCACAGGAACAACTCAGTGATTCATCACAAAATGAACATCCTCCGGGAAATATTGGGTTGTCGGAAAAGTCATGATGAATTTTTTCTATGTTTCTCATTGCAAAAATGCGTCATGACTTTTCCGACAACCCAATAGAACATCGTGGGCACCCCAGGTCCTCCCCCTTGTTCTCCCATCCTTATCACCACACCCAAATCCCCTCAAAGGAGTCCTTAGCTTAGCTTTAAAGCTAATTGTTTCCTCGCTTTTCTTCATATTTTTATCATCCCAGCATGCTGCTTTTAATACTATGGCTTTGCACGTGTGTTTTTTTAAGACTTTGTATACACGGAAAAAAATTAGTCTGTTTTCTTCCATCCAAGTTCGTCAATCTGCCTATCCCATACTATCCCCTTCCCACAGCCTGGAGTGGAGTCAGTGCTGGGATCATTGAGATGGGAAGGTGCAGGGTTTTGGCATGAACACAGGCTCAGTGGGCATCTCATCCTGTAGCCCCACCCCCCTCCTGGGCTCCCTGACCTGGCCAACTCACTGTTTCCCCACAGCGGGAGTTGCCACATCTCTGTGGTCAGCATGGCTGGACCACGCCCAATCTGTTTCTCATCATCCCCAATTTTCAAAGAAAAACGGAAGAATGGGAAGGAGAGACACGAAAGAGGAAACCACAAATAACCTAACTGTGTGCAACAGAGGAATTTGTAACCCACAGGCCATCAGAGCTGGGGGACCTTCTAGCCCCACTTCTTCAATTTGCAGGAAAAGACACTGAGGTCCAGAGTGAGCAAATGAATTGCCCAAACCATAGAAGTGCCCTGTTTCATGCTCATTTTCTGCACTGGGAGCCACTTCCTCAATCTGTGTCTGCCCAGGATTCACTGTCCTGGGAGACAGGAAGCTTATGTTAATCTGAGAGGGAAGAATTGTCAACTCTTCCCATGAGGTAAAAGAGGAAATTTCATTCATTCATTCATTCATTCACTCATTCAACAGCCATCTACACTATACTTTCAGGTTTCTAGTAAAGAGGTGACAATGAGAGCTAGCCTTTGCCTTTGAGGGCTAGTTGGGAGACAGACAGGTTACCTGACAATTCCAGTGCCATAGGGTATGTGGCTGTGATGGGGGAGGCACAGCCTGGGGATAAGTGGGGCTCCCGATCTTCTGGACTGGAAGGTGAGTTCTCAGGGAGGAATGGGCCAAGTAGACATGGTAGGGACTCTCGGGCAGTCACAAGAGATGAGAATTCTTTAGGTGATGCTGGGAATTGCTGGAGTCAGGTACTGTGTTCTCAACCCCACTCACTCTCCCACTGTACTGGAGATCCTCTGCCAGCTACCAAGTTCTGTGCTCTGTGACCAACCCTACCTCTGTCCCAGCAGGGGTCAGGCCACTGTCCATAGAGGGTGAGCTCTCTGCCCCGACATCCCTTGGTTCCTGGGGATTCCAGGAAAGGGCTATGCGCTGTGCTCAGTGCTGATTCAGAGCTGAGGCAGGATATGGTCGATCTCAGTACTCAGAGTGTCCAATGCCCAGGGGTGTGTGTGTGTGTGTGTGTGTGTGTGTGTGTGTGTACTGAATATTGACCTCCTAGGCCAGTGTGATGGTTAATTTTACATATAAACTTGTCTGGGCCACAGGATGCCCAGAATAAACATTATTGTGGGTGTGTCTCTGAGGGTATTTCCAAATAAGATTAGCATTTAAATCAGTGGATTCAATAAAGTGGATTGCCCCACCCCAGTGTGTGAGGGGCATCATCCAATGTGTGGAGGCCTGAATAGAACCAAAACCAGAGCAGTATGTATGCACAGTATTCGTGTGATTACTTTTCATATTCTCAAGCTTAACACAGGCAGTGTGTCCAGACATTTTATCTTGCCTCTTCATTCTGAATGAGTGTCGGGGGAGTGGGTATTGTTTTCAATCAACTTCTCTGAGACCTAAATGTCTGGGGTTGAGGGAGGCCAAGGGGAAAGAAAGAGGGTAAAACTCAAAAGGGGTTCAACACACACACCTCCTGGGGTCCAGGACTCTACTCTCTTTTCTGAGACTCCAACCTTCACTAGGGTACTCTCCACCAACCCAGAGGTGTATCTTGCATTGGGGTTTGTGCTCGAACCCCAACTCAGAACAGTGTGATGGAAGATGGTAAGCTCTGGTGACCCTCAGATACAGAATCAGTGATATGTAAGGCTTCTTCTCTGGAAGTCTTGTTATTGATTTTATTCAGGTCTGTCCACTCATATGAATGAGCATGTGTGTCTATTGGGGAAATCTCAGTGAAAATTCTCAGGGTTCTGTCAGCCCAACATTTCCTTCTAAATTCCTGCTTCTGGAGAAGGGATAACTATTTAGGATCAGAACATTTTCAGTGTCACACTAAAGACTTCTGTTTCTTTCCCATTTAGGAGTGTATGGTGTGATGTTTTATTCATTTCCTGGTTTGAATGTTGCTGGTGAAAGTTTGACTCCTTTTATTTAAATGGCATGTGTTTGTTTAATACATGATGGGTTTGGTACTCATAGCATCATGATAACTTGCCAGCCCAAACTTGAATTTGCAAGAGGTAAGGAACCTGCACAAAATGAACACATACCTTGTAACAGGACCTGTAGATGGTACTTTACGCATATGTGTACCCTTGTGACATGGGGTTTATCATTCCCCGACTTTGCAGGGCAGGAAACAGAAACAGAGATAAAGTGACTAACTTTCCAATTATCACCCTCTTAGTATTGGCAAACCAGGATCCAAGTTGCACCTATTCTAAAGCCTGTATTTTTTCCCTACAGCAAAGAATTTTCATGAAATCATTTATAATTGATTAATTAGGAATACATTTGCTCTATGAGTACCAGTGTTTGAAGTCTCCCTTTACCATGAAAAGCTCTGGGCTCCAGAACTGGGCCAGAATCCCTGCAGGATTCCCCACAAGCATCAATCCTCTGAATACTTGATGCTGATGCTGCCATCCCTTGGCCCTCAAGTCTTCAGCTTGTGATATCTGAGGGAATTTCAGTGGAGCTCTTGAGCTTGATCAGGAAGATACCGTATTTGCCGGCGTATAAGACGACTGGGCGTATAAGACAACGCCCTAACATTTCCACTCAAAATACAGAGTTTGTTATATACTCGCCGTATAAGACTACCCCCTCTTCCGCACACCTTCCACACACCAAATAAAAGGTAAAACAATATCAGATTTGATTTGGCCCACTGAAGTGCAAACAAGCGTATTGTATTTCGTGTCACCACATAACCGTTTTGGCGATGTTGAGCCACCATGTCTGCTACATGTTTTTCGAGTTCTGGCCAGTGTGGGGTGCCTCTTCTTAATGCACACTTACCCCTTGGCATACTCTTTAATGCTTTCTCATTTGATTTCCAGTCCCGAACCATCTTTTCTGTTACTCCATATTGTCTTGCAGCAGCACAATTATTATTTTCCTTAGCAAAGTTTATAACTTTCAGTTTAAAATTTGCATCATACTTCTTTCTTTTGGCTGGTGCCATGATAGGGATGATAGGGGTTTGACTGGTCGACATTTTCTATGCTGTACTGTACAATGGTGCAGTATTGTGGTTGGCTGTTGGCTGTATACAAAGCCTGATTTGATTGGTCCCTGCTCCCTGTTTGCCCGCCCTGTCACTATAGCAGTCTGGTCCACCCTTGCATCAGCATCTCCCTGGGACCTCACTAGTGCGCAAGTGCGAGCTCTTCAACATTCTAACAGGCACCATGATAGCGCAAAATCGCGAATCTTCAATGCATATGTAAAGAAATATACGGTAACCCGAATTTACCACACTCGCAAAATCGCACACAGCCGAGCATACACCCAGCAGCGCTGCTGATGCCTGAACGGTATGTGGAATGAAGTGGGCGGGCAT